ATAAAAGATATATAATTAAGGATTATAAAATATTTAAGTCTAATATTTTTAGATAATAACAAAATAAGGATTATAAACAAGCCGAATCAAAAGTTTTTTTTTTTTTTTGAATCATATTATGTTCAATATTTTGTTTAAAAAATTAATATTTTTTAAATTCAAAATTTTATTTTACATATTAACTGGTATATCAAGTACAAGTATTCCTTAAATTTTTATGATTTTTTGGCAATTTTTTTGGGGTTTTTTTTTATAAAATGTTTTTTTTTTCAAATTTTCATGATTGTTCTTATTTTGTAGAGAATTAAATTTTAAAAACTTTAGTACATTGAGTAGAAGTATCCTCTCAATTCTTACTTATTTTTGAGTCATCATTCAATCCAATTATATATATATATATATATATATATATATATATATATATATATATATATATATATATATATATATATATATATATATATATATATGGCAAATTAATAAAAAATGCATAAAGGTTTGGAAACCCTAAAACCTAGAAAATCAATAGTAATACATAGAAAAAAAATATTTTACGATATCTAATCTATTTTTTTATATTATAGGGCTGAAAATCACAGGTTTTCGAACAAATTCTTTGAAAAAAAATTATTATTTATTTTTAATTTTTTAGCGATTTTATAGAAAAGTAACAACTTTTATGTTTGTAAAGTCAAAAAAAAGATATCTCAAAGTTTTATATATATATATATATATATATATATATATATATATATATATATATATATGGTTTTTAGGGTTTATGTATTTTCTATTGATTTTTCATATATATATATATATATATATATATATATATATATATATATATATATATAGAGAGAGAGAGAGAGAGAGAGAGAGAGAGATGATAACATATAACAAAAAATAAATACTTGTAGACAGAAGTTTCAAGTGTTTTTACAAAGTTAATTTTTTAACAAATGGATCTCTTAAAAGCAAACAACTAATAACAAGTTAGACAAGATTTACATAATACAAGATATAATTGGCTTTTGCACCCATGCTACCCACCAAATAACCGTTTTATGACATCTAAATCTAAGTACCACGAATAAGAAAATGCAACTACATTATCAAAAGAAGAATCTTTCCACATCTTTGTACCTAACATAATGCAATTGCAAAAGTTTCAAATGTACCAGCACATCATGTAAAAAATAGTTTTCATCGCTTTTTTCTCTGGACAAATGAAAGCTACAAGATATCTATAGCCATAGACTTCACCAATCGACCCAACCGGCAGGTAAGACAACTTGCAAACTTTCAACCAAAGATGAGAAGAAACTTTTTCTGGACAAAGTTAGCAACAAGTTATTTGAAAGATATAAAGCATAGCTTTATTACAAGTGGACACTAGGTTGTGGGCATAAGGCTAACAATACAAAAGAAGATGGCTATAATTCACATCACGTAGCTTTTTTTTTTTGGGTATTGATTGACCCGATTATGTAGTGTGTGCTTATACAAAATTTTGCTTCGGTTTTTGTTAAAAAGAAAAACTTATAAGTCATAAGTTTTTCAATAATAATGTCAGTTGGTGATCAGTTTTATTAATAAGCATATTTACATCATGAACAATTATTGAGATAACTTTTATTCCTTTTTATTAATATTTCATTTACCGGTAATGGTTACTTTAGACTAGGGATGAGAATTTGGTTCGGAAACCTGAAGATAATCGAAACCCGAACCGAACCAAACTGAATTAGGTCAAATAAGCAATTCGATTCAGGTTTCGGGTATCTATGTTATACTTACTCGATTATCGGGTTATTCAGTCCGTGTTACCCAAATAATAGTTTATTCAGTTCTAAATGCGCGACCTTAAATTGAAAAGTCATTTTATTTTAATCATGATTACTTTCCATCATTAGTTGCTAGCATACCTTTTCCGATTGAAGTCAAACTCGAAGTCATGCCTTGCATTTCTCATCCCCCTTCTTTGACCGACAGAAATCGAAATCAAGATTCACACTTCTGTAATCGTCGTTCACAACAGAAAAAAAAAAAAAAACATATGCTCGTCCTCGTCGTTTCAAAATCGACCAATCTTCTCAACTACTGTCAAACTCGAAATCACTTCTGTCTATCCTTCCTTTTGTTTCATATATTAAAAAATTGACAATTTCTATTGTCTCTAAGGATTCATGAATTCCTACTTTATCTAGTAATGAAAAATTAGACTTCAACTCAAGAAACTCAAGTAAGCAATTAATTCTCTTTATGTTAATGATTTACTATGTAAATTCTTTTCATTCAATGTGTTATTGTGTTATGTTAGTTTTTGAATGTTTTATGTTATATATAAAAGAACATTGTTATTGTATTATTCATATTATTCGGGTTATAGAATTCTAATACGGTTTATTCGGTTCTTTTCAGTTATATTAGATCATTAATCATCTTATACATGATATTCGGATCATTAGGGTAATAACCGAACCGAACCGAACCGATTAATACCTAAACCGAACCCATATTGGTTAATCGTTCCGGTTTTCGGTTTATGAAATTACCCTTATTTGGTTAGCAGGTTATTCGGGTTCGGATCTGTTTGGTCCGGTTTCGACTCAATAAAATCCCTACTTTAGACTCTACTTTTTTTACACTATTTTATATACTTTCTTTTTAAAGCTAAACTTTAGCAATACGCCAATATAACTAAAGCTGAATAAAGATTTCAGAAAGCGGATAACACAAGGATATGCAACACTGCCAACACACTCCAAAATAAAATCTTGATGTCGCATGCATATGATTCATGGTGGTTCGGTGTCAACACTCACAAATCACAATAATGTGCATTTCCCATGACCTTGGGTGATTTTGATGCATTATGAATAAACTAAAGGAAATCATGAAATTATGACAATGCTAAGTTTGGTTTTATCGTGTTGTTGACATGACCAACCGTCTTTTTATGTCACTCAAACATATGTAGACTGAAAAGATACATGAATTAGGCTCTTTATAAAAGTAAAGTGCTCTTAAAACTTTTAAAAGACGAAATATTTTGTAGAAAAGGTATTAGTACTACGTTATGCAACTTTTTATTTGTTAGGTTTATCCTAATTGTTTTCTTATTCTGTAGTTTCATTTTCATTTCATCGTAATCATACTTTATACTAAACATAAAACTCGAGTCTATCTTTAGCTCTCAATCTTCATGCTATAAGAGCTTATTTGAGTCATGATTTTTTTTATTTCATGATTAACGAAGAAGGTTTCGCATCTTCATGCATGGTATCGGGGTTTGGGGTAGAGCCCCAATTGAAGCAATATGATATTTTCTTTTAACGACAGATTTTATTAAATCAAGAAGAGGCATTGTCAAGTTGAACTAAAAGGCATTGTCAAGTTGAACTGAAATCCCAGCATTACCCGCTTGAAACCATAACTATCGGCTAAACGTTAAATAGATATATTAGTAGGAGTAAAAATGGAACATCAACAACCTCCCGATCATTAGATCTCATCGATTCCCCCTGTAACAGAAACCAAACCGGTTGATATCATTCTCAAAGCACCTTAACATATTAATGAACAACAAAAACAGTAAAATTTAATGGAAATCGAAAAAAATATAAAGGAAAGCCAAGATAACTGTCCTTTAAGATCTTTACTTACAAAATCCTGTGAATGGTCAATATTTGGATCAACATCCGAACAAGATAAACCTCAAATTATTACAAAAAGGTAATGCAATTTTTAACGTTGAAAGATACATGAAAACTAAAAGCATTAACATTTAAAAAAAAAGTATTTATACCTTAAAATGAGGATCATTATCAACTACTTCATGATCATCCAAATCCGAATGACCTCCAAAATTATTCCAAACGCCACTGCAGATCGGTGTGGGATGAGCGAACCCACTCATCCATCAATTCTTTCCATTTTCTGTAACAATGGAAAACAACAAAATGGTGTTTAGTAATTATCTTTGATTTATATCAATATTAAAGGAAAAGAGATAGAAAAACATTTCGTTTACCTTGAGCCCTTCAGCCCTTCGAACGTTTCTTCCCTGATTACCCCCTGTATACATAAGAAATTGTAGAAATCATAAAGAGTTTCAATTTTAGAGTTTGTGGTTTCTAAGGTTACATGGTGTGGTTAAGGTGTCACCGGTAGTATCCGACGTGTCACCCTTTCACCGCCGGTGAACACTGCGCCGTGGTGGTGGTTTTACAGCCGGTGGCCTTCTACCGTTGGTGAACTTTTGAATTTGTGACCGTTTGAGGGGTTTTAGATTTTGCGGAAGGGAACGTTGCCAAACAGTCGGCATCGGCTATTTTGGCAATTTTTCTTTTTTTTTTTTTTTTTAAAAATCTACTATATATAGACAAATCGAATTTCCAAAATTTAACCACACTATACACTCTGAACAAACATGTTTCATTGAAAATGTCTTTCAACAATCCAAACGCTTCCAAACAAAATGCTCCAAATAAAAATATTAATAATCATTTCGTACTTTTCGACCACGATCCGTCATCACCACCACCTTATAGACCACAAATGGATGGTGTTCTTAGCTATTATTCACAATTCCAAATGCCCCAACAATTCCATTTTAAATCTTAACCTCAAACCTAACCATCTCAAACCATTTCCATCCCAACTGCCATTCACACCTTCAACCAAATTATTTTCTAATTCCGAACACGAAGAACAACAAAAATAACCTCAGATACAAAAGAAATGGAAGGTTGATCCGAGAAGATGGACAAAAAAAGAAGAAGTTGAGTTAGCAAAGGCATGGGTCGACATATCTGAAGATAATGGGCACAGGAAAGGGTCAAAATTGTGATCAGTTTTGGTTACGTATCACGGAACGATTTTATAAAGGAATGGGTCGAAATCAGATTATCGGACCTCCGACCAATGTAACTCCAAATGTAATCTTATGAACAAATCCGACACACATTAAATGTAATTTACACAAACTTTGAAAAACAATGGGTTAGTGGAGAAAGTGAAACGAGTTTGTTGAAAAAAACACACGTTACATTCCAAGATGATATGTTAAAGCCTTTTAAGTTTATTCATGTGTGAGAAGTTGTCAAAAGAAGCATTAGGTGGAAGGAACTTGCAACACATGAACAAATTGCTAATCCGCCAAAAAGAAGTCGAACATCTTCATATTCGAGCTCACAACAAGTCTTATCGGATGGTCACGTAGGAGTTAATCTTAATGATGATAACGACGACATTGAAGAAATACGCCCACCTCCTCCTCGAATGGGAAGGGACAAAACAAAAGCTCGAGCAAAAGGAAAAGGGAAAGCGACATCTTCAAATTCTTCGGTCGGAACCGAGCGGTCAGCTAGATTGAAAGAAATGATGACACAAACGGCACACTTGAATTCAACTTTGGAGAGGCATATGGTTGAAACCGTCCGACTCACTGAGTATTCATTGTTAATGCAAGATGTAAGACACCTTGATCCCGAAGATCAAGAGGCGGCTAAAGCAGTATAGCAGTCGAAAAATATAAGCTAAACCGCAAATGAAATTTCGATGTTATGTTTTTTTTTAGGTTTTTAATGTAGTTTTTAATTTCATGTTATTTTTTACTTTTAGGATTTCTAAAATGTAATTTTTAATTTTAGTATGTTTTTAAAAAACTTCTTATTTTTTTAAATTAAAGAAAAAAAAACAAAAAAAACCTCAAAGGAAAACCATTTACCACACCTTAATCCGTAGGTGAAAATTATAAAAAAAACTGTGAAAGTTGACATGACGTCTACATTGCACCTCTTTACCATTGGTAAAAAGGACACCACACCGTTTAGCCTAACAAATGGAATATTAATGGTGCATATTAATGGACATCAAATGTATGCATATCTTTTTTCTGTTTAATATGTTTAACGAGTATTTATGCATAAAACCACTGGTACTTTTTTTTATTTATCAAAATAAGAATTAAAAATATATTAAAATAAATTTAGATATGGTAAATACATTTTGGGTGAATCCCATCATTTTGTCGTACAATGAAAGTACTCTTTAGTGCGATGAATAGGGTGGTCTCTGATTGTAGATATGGCCACAGTTGCAACTTCTTCAAAAGGATATCTAAAATGGTAATTAGTTAATTACACATTCAGTCAATTTATGAATCATTATCCTTATCAAAGAAGTATCAACTTAATGAACTCACCCATTGGTACCACAGGATATGGTAGGAAGCTGTAGGATTCTCATCTTCATGATAAATAGGGCCAACAATGTGGATTACACAATATGAAGACAATTTAAACCCTCTGTCTGAATTCTTCAATCATGAGTTCAAGAAATACAAACATAAAAGAGTAAAAAGAACAAAAAGTAAAAAAGAAAAGACTATTTTGATTTTGGTAGCTTACTAAATATTGTGTATAGTTTGGAAGTATTCTAGAATGATCCCACTAAAATCATTATCTTCTATGTTCCTGAAATTGTGGGTAGAAAGACGACTAACCCTATGTTGTATGCACTAAAAGTATCATTTGAGTTTTGATTCATTTCACGAAAACTTTAGAGAAAAAATATGAAAAGAACAAATTTTGATCTGATATACCAACAAATACTAATGTTTAGGAATTGTATATTATATATAAATTAAAAACCTGAAGAATTTGTCTGTATACACTGTAGATGACATTTATTTTATGAACCATTCTCAAGGCTTAGAACAGATGCAACCAATTTTGAAAACAACAATGCTTGAGAATAGTCTTCAGTCTTCTCTTCAATTTTGAAACAGAAACAACCCTTCCATATGTTTGTCAATATGCCCTCACAACCTCTCTTGGCCCTGTGTACATCGGTGTGAATCTTGAAAGAAAAATCTTCCTTAAAACAAAACCAAGAACTGTGAACGCAAGCTTGACGATTCCAAATGTGTGTGAATCTTTTTAACAGTAACCACTGAACCAAATCAGTAGAAAAAGAAAGAAGGAGATGACTGGAAAGTGAAATTATGGATTAAAAGCAATACCCAGTTGAAGAAAACCTGAAGACGAAGATAAATTTGGTGACAATATTAGTGAAACTATTAGCCATTACTATTATTGTTGTATATTCGTGTATAGATTCTTCTCTATTTAGTCTCCTGTAATTTAAGTAAGTTAACTATTATGTATCTATATATATTTGTGGATTGATTTAATGAGAAGTCAAGGGATTCCACGGAAACCTTTATGGTATCAGAGCGTAATTCCACAGAACCCTAAAACTCATTCATTGACAGCCACGGCTGTCATCTTCATCTCTAATCAATCATGCCCGGTGACGAGCCAAACCCCACAAAACCCCTTCATCCTATGTACAATGTCACAAACATTCAAAACAAAGTCAAAGTTTGGATGGTACCAAGGTTCCCTACTCGTCATGGGTAAAACTGTTCAAGCTTCATGCCCGTGGCTACAACGTCTCGCACCATATTGATGGCACAACCCCTCCTACAAAAACCAACGCCTAGGGATGAGCATCGAAACCGGCCCGGCTGGAAACGACCCTAACCAAAACGGCCCGAGAACCGAACTTAGTGAAAAATAGGAACGGAACCGGACCGCCGGTTCCCGGTTCTTGCCGTGTATTCAATGTTGGAACCGATCCTCAAGAAATAGCAACATACGATTCCAATTTTTGCCGGTTCTACTGGTTCTGGTTCTCCCGGTTTCGGTTCCTACCGGTTCCCGATTTCAAAAATCCACAAGAATATCTTCCCGGTCCCGGTTCCGGTACCGGTTCCGGCCGGTTCCCCGGTCCAAATGCTCATCCCTACCAGCGCCGACTATGCTCTATGGAACAAAATCGATGCCATAGTTCTATAGTGGATCTATGGATCAATGACGACACGACTTATCAAGCTTGGGAAAAGGTGAAGAAAATCTTCCTCAACAATAAGGGATCTCGTGTTGTTGCCCTTGAACACAAGTCCGCTAATCTTACCCTCCGATCTGTGAACTCTCTTGAAGAGTACTGTCAGAAACAGAAAGACATTGCTGACCAGTTATCCGATGTGGAAAGTCTGGTTTCTGAAAACCGATTGGTACTCCAACTGGTTCGAGGACTACCACTGGAGTATGATACCACTACAACCTATATAAATTAGACATTACCTGGGACACAGCTCAAAACATGCTTCAATTAGAGTGAAACTGACAACAAACCCGTGAGCAAACCATTGTCGCCAATGTTGGTCTTACTGTAACAGAGGTGAATGTTGCATCTCACCCAACACCGAGACAACCTCGCCAAAATCATGGGGTCACAACCTCATCGTGGCCACCCCCTCCATCTCAGTGAGACGTGATCGACAATAACACACCGGGAATTCTCAGTCACGCAACCCTCGCCCGAACAGCCAGCATCAATCAAATCTCTCAAACTATTACAATACGCCGCCATGGTGGCATACGTTGCCACCACCATGTCCCTATCCGACTCAACCTGGTTGGACACATCCGTGGTACAACTATCTGCGGCCAACATCACAACAACACCCTCCTCGTCGAAACCCAATCACTTAATGCTGCTACATTCAATGCACTTGAACCGACAGACATTGGAGCTACTTTTCAAGCGATGACCATGGATCCACCAAATGACTCAGACTAGTATATGGATACAAGTGCTTCTTCCCACCTCACTGCAGATTCTTGTAAACTTCACAGCTTTACAACTATAAGTCCCATAAAATCTATATTTGATGGCAATGGTCATGACATTCCAGTTCTAGGCACTGGACACACCAAACTTTTATCTCAACCAAAACCTATTTCACTAAAAAAAATGTTCTTCACACACCAAATATTGTAAAAAATCTTGTGGCTATTCGTCAATTTACTATTGATAATGATGTATCTGTTGAATTTGACCCCAATGGTTTTACCTTGAAGGATCTTAAGAGTGGAATGTTCCTCTCCCGTCATAATAGTACCGGAGCCCTCTACAAGTTCACACCTCCAGAAACGTCTACTTTCATTTTCTTTTCCATGACGTCACCTACCTTATGGTACTTCCAGCTTGGACATCCGGCTGTAAATATTATTGACATTTTACGTTTTCAGTCATTTATTTCTTGTAATAAAAGTACTAATAGTACTCATTCTCTTTGCCACTCTTATCAAATCTCGAAACACAAAAGGCTACCATTTTAGGATTCTAATTCTCGTACTTTATTACCGTTTGACATCATTCATTGTGATCTATGGACGTCTCCTATTCTAAGTAAATGTGGCTATAAATACTACATGGTGCTTATCGACAATTTTACCCAATATGTGTGGGTTTACCCTCTAAAATTCAAAATCAGAAACTTTTTCACGATTCTCTCAACTTCACTCTCTTATTCAAACTTAATTCAAAACCAAAATCAAACATTTTCAATGTGAATGGGTGGAGAATTCGATAATACACAATTTAAATCTTTTGCATCCACATATGGCCTTACACTCCGATTCGCATGCCCTCAAACTTCATCACAGAATGGAAAATTTGAAAGAATGATTTGCCAACTTAATGAAATCACTCTTATCCTTCTTGCTCATGCATCTCTACCTCCATCTATTTGGGTCGATGTCCTTCATGCTGTCACCTACCTTCACAATATCACCCTAACCAAAGTTCTACATGAACAAACACCAACAAGCACGTTTTTTGGTCGAAACCCCTCCTATAACAAGCTCCGTGTATTTGGTTGTGCATGTTATCCAAACCTTTCAGCCCAACGTAACCACAAACTTGACACCCATTCTATCCAATGTGTCTTCCTCGGCTATCCCACAAATTATCGTGGATACCGTTGTCTTGATCCTTCAACTAGAAAAATCTATCTCTCTCGCCACGTCACATTTTACGAGACAATTTTCCTATTCGCTTTGTCCAATCTATCCTTAACCTATGAATACCAATTCCTTTAAGATGACACCAACCTTTCCTCCACCTTCACCGAATTCTCCAACTCTCAAACACCCACCACACATCCTACTTATACTCCATCAAATACTCTTCCTCACCATCACACACCATCCTCTCCCCCTCCCACCGTTCCGCCCACTCAGTCGTCAACACAACCCCCGCCATCCCCATCCCACCCATGGCCACTCGATTTAGCCATATAATTGTCAAACCACATATTTGCCTAAACCTACACACCACCAACATTTCCCCTCTTCCCAAAAACCCCTACCTTTCCCTTCACGACCCTAACTAGAAACATGCCATAACTGACGAATACAAGGCTTTATGTGACAATGAGACATGGGAGTTGGTCCCTCGACCCCTGTATGCTCATGTTATATGTTGTATGTGGCTTTATCACCATAAATTTCATGTTGATGGTTCCTTACAACACTATAAGGCATGTCTTGTTGTTAATGGTAAATCTTAGTAGATTGGCATATACCGTCCGCCCGGTGGTTAAACCTACAACTATTTGCATTGTTCTTACACTTGCAGTGTCTCGATCATGGCCAATCCATCAACTT